GAGACGCTACTGAGGCTGAAGGGAGAGGTGAGGAGATACCAAGAGTTGGGAGGTTATAATAGAGCAACGTGCCTTCCGTGGACACAGTGGATACACCTGCCATTGTCGACTTACTTTCCCAGCCGTCTTATAGTTTGACGTGGCCGTTAGGTAATCAATCACCACTATGAGCAAAAGCCTAAAACACCACCAGGTTATGATTAATTGTTCGGACACAGCTATCATTCCTAGAGTTATGTCATAGTACATTAATAATAATAATACCATATACATTTTTTGCATTTTCTTCATCTCATTCTCTTTCCTGGCTATTTATTATGTTTGTGGGAGCCTAGAACGGTCCTTGTACTCCGGTGGGAACAGCTTTGTGGGGTTTCCTCTGGGGACAGCCCCAGGCAGGTCCGCTCTCCAGCTCACTCCCCACTGATTCAGTCCCTCTATCTGGTCCAATCCGGCCCAACCTCCCACAGCCCGGGTGCGGTTGGACCGGATGCAATCAGGTGGTCCCTGGCGGGCCCTGTCAGGAACCTCTTCTGGGAATGGTTACAGAGTCCACGTCCAGAGCTTCCCAGCTCCCCTCCTCATCTTCCTTCCTGCCTGCCCCCCACGAGGCTGGGGTCAGGTGAGACCTGTGCAGGTGGTTTCAGGGGACACCTGCACCTCGGAGCTACTTGCTTAAGTCCCGATGAGCCTGGTCTCGGGGTCGGGGACTGTGTGGACCCTCCGGCCTCTTCCCAGCAGAGCCGTCCTGCTGGGGGAGGCACCGAGGCAGTCGCCCAGTGGGAGCCCACTTGTCTGTTGGAAACTCTGCCCCAGCTTGTCCCATTGGAGACACCTTGTCCTCGACGGCACCCCCAATGTCTCATGCCCCACCCCAGGATGCAGCTTTTCTATAACCTGGCAATTCGATCCATTCATTTATTGATTCATCAGTTTTCAGAGCCAGACTTTGTGGAACCTCTTCATGCCAGGCCCAGGGCTGCGTCTAGAATGGTGCACAGAACCCACATTGACTGTGCTCCCGGGGACGGGACCTTCTCCTGCGAGAGATGGGCAGTGCGCCGTGAGTGCCGGGCGGGAGGGTGGAGGAGCGCAGGGGCTGGGACAGTGGGGCTGCTGTCCCGCAGCAGGGTCATCCCAGAGTGTGTGCCCGAGCCCTGGACTCCAGCCCTTGTTCTGTATCAGCAGGTCTCCCGTCCGCTCGCTTCAATGACAGGGAGCAGCCAGCATGCACTTCGCACGTGTGCGCCCACATCCGGCTGCTCCCAGCTCTCCGAGGCGAGGGGCGTCTTCGTACCCGTGACAGGCCTTTATGAACAGTTGGTTGTTGAGCAGTTTTGCTCAACTGTAACAATGTTTCCAACATCTCAGCCATGTTTCTGCTTTTAGCGATCTGGACTCTCCCACGCGTGCACTTGGTCTGCCATGAGCAGGAAGGAGTGGGGCGGCCCAGAACTTTCTGAAATTTGATTACAGCCCAGGCACATGCGGGGCGCGGACTTAAATTGGCACAGCCTGCAATTATCCGCGCCCTGTGCCGTGCGAATCCCCTCCTGTGGGTCATCAGGGAGAGCAGCATCGTCCTCTGACCTTTTGGTAAAAGCCCACCCAGGCGTTTGCAGTTGATTTTACTTCAAAACCAGCTTTCCCTGGTGAACAGAGGGAGCGGCTGAGACGAGAGGGGACGGAACCGCCTGCCGCTCACAAGCATCGATGGCGCGTGGAAAGCGCCAGGCAGCGTCCCACCTGCCGACCAGCTAACGTGCCAACTCCTGGGAGGCTCTCTGCGCGGAGGGAGCGGTTTGAACGTTCCCTCTGTCAGACCCACCGAGGTCACGTTCGAGGGGAAACCCGTGGTCGGTGTGAGCTGCTGTTGGTCTGACCTTCCCTGGTGGGTTCCTCCCTGCGTGGTCAGTGTGTGTGCGGTGGGGGGGGGGGGTGGGGGGGGGGGGGGGGTGGGGGGCGGAGAGGAATGAAATCCTTCCAGAAGCTCTAGAGCAGCAAAGAAAGGCAGTGACACTTAATCCTTGTTTAAAAAAAGCAAAATATTTCACGTGCTGCAGTGGCTGTCAGCTCCTCGGCCTTTAAGTTTTCCTGTTGTGTGTGACGCAGGAATAACTCTCACTCTGTATCCTCGCAAACTCCTAGTGGACGTCCCACGCACATGCTCCCCCTTAACGCCAACCTTGACCCTAGAGGTGATCCTGAGAGAGGTTTTCCCAGGGTGCCTTCCTCTGTGCCCAGCCCCAGGCAGGCTGTGGGGCCTGTGCTGGGGGCACGGGGCTCTGGCTTCTGTCAGTGAAGCTCCAGGTGCCAGTGGGTGTACAGGTCACCCCTAAACCCACCTGAGCAGTGACAGGAGAATTGCTCTACGCGCGGCTCATTCCGCATGGGAAGGTTTGGGGCCGTCTTGTCACGTAACCGCCACGTACAGACACTGTTTTGAGGGGACATGGCACCCGAAAGTGACCCGGAAATCCTGGGCAGGTGGAGTCAGTGCCTCTTGGCGGACGCAGACTTCGGAGGCAGCGGTGCAGTTTTCCTCTTCTTTGTTTCCAGCCAGCACTCTGTAGGCTGGTGCTCACCGGGTCCCCGTCCCCGCCCCTTCAGCGGCAGAGGACAACACAGAATCTCTCCTGCATCCCTTCCAACCTCGGGCCTGGCCCCTCTCCTGCCCCCCAGCCACCTGCTGCTCCGGCTTTGCCTCCCCTGAGAAGCCCGAGTTGCGCTGGGGACACTGGGGAGCCCTCGGTGCTCCACTGCCCTGCGGACATGCCCCGTGGAAGCATGAGCCGGAGCGGAAGTTGCAGACCTCAGTGGACGTTGAGCTCCTTCATGTTTCATAGTCTCCCCAGCTGCCCTTCCCAGCAGGAAGCACACATATCCCTCTGCCCCTCACAAAAGCCATCGGCTCAGAGAGAGAGAGACAGAGAGAGAGAGAGAGAGAGAGAGAGAGAGAGAGAGAGAGAACAGAGGGGAAAAGCAAAATGAAAACCCGAAGGACCAGCCCCCCGAGGCCAAGCCCACAGGACACGTTCAGTAGCAGATCATTCTTTAAACATTGGAGAGTGAACTCGGTCAAGGCTGGAAGTGAAGGCAGGTGCACCCCTGCCGGAGAGCGGGGGAGGGAGTTCCCCCAGAGGCGCGCGCTGTGGCCGGCCCCTCTGCACGCTGGCCCGCAGTGTGTGGCACAGATGTTGCCTGTCTTAGACACGTATAAAACGTGGCGAGTCTCCTCTCCAGAGGCGCCATGTGGGGAGTGGTGGGTGACATCCTTGGTAACTGGGAGGCTTTTTCAGTTGCTTTAACTGGGTGTTGACGGTGCACGTGGCCGAGTTTGGTCTGGAGCTCAGGCTGCAGCTGGGGCAACTGAGGAGGCTGCAGTGTGGGGTGGCTCCCAGACCCGGTGCCCCCCATGGAGACTCTGTGAGGACGGCCTGTTTCCTCAGTCCCGGCGGGGAGGAGAGAAGAACGCTCACCGGCCAATGCAAGCCGCACGCAGAGGCTGGAATCAAAGGGGCCCGTGGTCTGTCTCCAGACCCTCGGCTCGGCGGCTGCAGTGTGGGCCCCTCGGCTCGGCCACGAGCAGGTCCTGGGCCACACAGACCAGGAAGAGCCGAAAGGGCCGACGGGGTGGAGGCGCCGGGCTCCAAGTCGAAGTTTGGAATCATGCTTACACCCTAAAGGCAGCGATGGTACCATTCAGTGTCACGAAGTTTCGTAAATTACAGTGGGTTTTCTTATCTTCCTCACCTAAACACCCATCATCGCTAACCTTATGCATTTTATTCACTTACACGGCCACCCTGCCACCTCCGCATGAACGGGCGAGGGAGTGTTTATATGGCTAAGCCTCTCTGGCCGCAGCATGGTCCATCGGCCCTTTAAGACTTTGGCTATGATGGCCTCGACCGGGAGATTAATGTGAGCACGTTGTGAGCAACAGAAGCGAGATATTTTTAGTTCACTTTGGCAAATATTTTTGTATGTTGACTCTGTTACCAAGCACTGCTCACGCAGAGGAATTAAAAGGTATTAAGACTCAGTTTCCCCCTTTAGCTTGGAGAACAGACACATAAATCAATATCTGCCCCGCAATACGACAAACTCCATCCCTCAGGCAGCGGAGCGCCCCCGGCAGGGCCGGGCATGGGCTCCGCCAGCACCCACGCTGGTCTCGGGGCCCACGCTCAAGATTTGCTGGGTGCCTTTTTGAGTTCAGACTCGTGATAAAACAACAGACAGCTTAGCAGGTCAGTTTGGAAACTGGGCACGAACACGGTTGGACCCGAGCCCAGAACCCCGACCACACGACTCACCCACGCGTGGGCATGGAAGGGGCAGGATGCGCTGAGGGCTGCCCGGCGGCCGCGGAGGCTGCTCGGTGGGGGCTCACTGTGCAGAGGACACAGCGACGGCCCTTGGGGAACATGGCGGGGGCTGGGAAACCAGCCAGGTAAACAGTCCCCATGGCGGACAGGCGCCCGGCCGGGCAGTCATGTACGTCGGCAGCTGCAATGGCTGAAGAATGCGTCTGCACTGACTCATCTTACAGAGGAAGGAACTGAGCTCAGGCCGAGAAACGTGATTATCTTTTCAAAAGTTCCGTGTCTAATTAATGGCAGGGCCCGGCGGAGACCCCTCAGCGCCCGAGGCAGACGGCGCGGCCTCCTCCACCCCTCACGGCCGGCCTCGGAGTGAGCTATCAAAGTCTCATTCAGTTTCTTCACCTGGAAACGGGAGTCAGGCTACAGTGTCCGCCATGTGTAGCGTGAGGGACGCATACAAACAAGATCAGGGTGAGATAGCGCAGAAGCAGGGCAGGGTGAGCTCGAACGTCAGCCATGGGCCCTGGGTCCCAGTGTCTGCACAGTGTCCCTCCTGCCACAGCAGTGGGGGGGTGGGGGGGGAGCAGGGGGCTTTGCTCACTGTGTTTCCAACACAGAAGGCAGCGCCCTTGTCAGGTCCGGGCCGTTCTCAGCCTCTGTCTCTCCCCTCAGGGCCAAGGAGATTAAGATCAAGTTGGGGACACTCCTGCAGAAGCCAGACCCAGCTGCCGACCTGGTCATTCCCTACAACGAGAAGCCTGAGAAGCCAGCCAAGACCCAGAAGTGAGTCGTGGGTGTGGGTCCCCGCGTGCCCCGCAGGGTGGCTGCGTGCTCCCCATCCTCACCCAGGCCCCTCACTCGCTGGCGCCGGGGCACAGAGCTGCCTGCGATGAGCCTCTCTGGGCTCCTGAGCTGGGAGTGAGTGTGCGTGTGGCAGGATGGTTATACACAAAGGACCTTGCTGGGAGCCAGGCCCAGCCCTATAGACAGCAGGTGCCTCCGCCTCGCCACCCGCTCTCTGGCCTCCAAAGGCAGGTGACCCTCTGGGACCCAGTTCGTGCTGGGCCCGGGCGCCCACCTGGTTCCACCCTCCCAGGGAGACACCAGGGCTGCCCTGAGGAAGAGGCTGCAACCAGGCAGAGAACTGAAGCCTCTTAGTTTCTTCTCTGAGACAGGCCCAGCGGAGGGGCAGACAGTGCCCGGCCCAGCGGAGGGATAGACAGTGCCCCAGGCCCAGCGGAGGGGCAGACAGTGCCAGGCCCAGCGGAGGGGCCGATAGTGCCAGGCCCAGCAGAGGGGCAGACAGTGCCAGGCCCAGCGGAGGGGCAGACAGTGCCCCAGGCCCAGCGGAGGGATAGACAGTGCCCCAGGCCCAGCGGAGGGGCAGACAGTGCCAGGCCCAGCGGAGGGGCACAGACTTCTCCTTGCTGGAGGCATGCGCACTTTCCAGCTCTTTCCATGTCCTGCACAGTGCTCAGCCTCTCCCCGCCCGAACCCAGTATCCCCGCCTGGGCTTCTGCCAGCGGCCCCCACCCCCACCTCTCTCTCTCTCACACACACACACACACACACACACACACACACCCCCACCCACACACACACACGGTGTAGGTATAAAGACACAGGCATCTTGGCAGGGATGCCCGCTCCCCGGCACTGGCTCCTCAATAGCTCAGCAGGACAGCATTCATGCGCTGGCCTCGCAGCCGCGGCCTGTCCTGCCGGGACACCCAGCACCTGCCTTCTGAGCGCCCGGAGGGGGGTGTGCAGGAGGTCAGCCTGGAGGAGGCAGGCCAGATGGACTCGAAGCCCATCACTCCTCTGCCCGCACACCGGAGGCACCGCAGCCGCATGGAAAAATACAGGACTCCCTTTAAGCCACCCTTTCTTTTTAACGTCATCAACTCCATCCATTGGCCCAGCTTTTCTTTGTTCAAATGACCTTGGACTGAACAGGCTGGCCTGGTGGGGGCCGACAGGTCCTTCTTTTTCATCCTTCTCCCTCCCCTGCGTGGCCTCTCCCTCCTCCTGTTCTCGTCACTTCCCAGCTCCCAGCCTCGGAGGGGCAGTTTCCCTGTTCAGGAAGGGGCACCAGTCCTGTGAGGGGGCACCTCGTTCCACAGCAGCAGCTGGTCAGAGTCCGGTTTGTTTGTTGTTGTTGTTAATCCTCCCCCGAGGATATTTTTCCATTGATTTTTAGAGAGAGTGGAAGAGAGAGGGAGAGACAGAGAGAAACATCGGTGTGGGTTGCCTCCTGCCCGCGCCCCGACCAGAGCCTGGGCCGGGGAGGAGAAGCCTGAAACCCAGGTATGTGCATGCCCTGGACTGGAATCGAACCCAGAGAGACACATTGACTGGTTGCCTCCTGCACGCGCCTGACCAGGGCCTGGGCCAAGGAGAAGCCTGCGACTGAGGCCCCTGCCCTTGATCGGAATCGAACCCGGACCCTTTGGTCCTCAGGCCGACGCTCTATCCACTGAGGCACACCGGCTGGGGCCAGAGAGTCTGTTTTGAAGCGAGCGAGGTGGTGCTCACTGGCCTCTGGAATTCGTTTTACAATAAGCCCGGACCACAGTCCCGCCTCCAGGCTCTGCTCTAACGTCCGCAGCCACGGGACCATTCGGTGCCCAGGGCCCGGGCAGAGCCGCTTTGGGAGAAAACCTGAGCTGCTGCTGGACTGTTCTCCTGTCCTCCCCTTCTTCCTGCAGGAGTTGCAATTGCTTCGGAAAATCCGACCTGTCCCCGGAGACCGTTCCCACTGAGCTCGCGGCCCGGCCCGGCCCACCCGCCACCTCCTAGGGGGCGCATTCCCAGCCAACGGGACAGGACCGCTCCGTGTCCTCCCACCACCTCTGCCCCCACTTTAGCATTCCTCGGTATTGTTTTTCACTCATGTTCTTCTCCCAGAGAAGAAATAAACCTCAGAGCGTAAAACAAACCTGAAGGTATTTTTAACCCCCTCATCCACTAAAAAAAGCAACCTTTTTTAAACAAGCATTTTCTATTTTTTGGACATATCTTTATTCTTCTCATTGGGAAAAAGAATATTGAATCGTGGAAAAAAATAGGAAAAAGTTGCCTTTGTCCCAACTCCCAAGCCAGCTCCCCTGCCGGGTTCAGACTGGCTAATCGCTCT